AGTGGTGCACACCTGTAATCTCAGTGGCTCGGGAGGCTGAGTCAGGAGGATCACAAGTTCATAGCCAGCCTAGGCAACTTGGTGAGGCCCTAGGCAACTTAGGGAGGCCCTAGGGAACTTAGCAAGACTGTGTCTCTAAATAAACTTAAAAAACAGCTGGGGATGTGGCTCAGTGGTTAAGCACCCCTGTGATCAATCTCCTGTACCAAAAAAATTGTTTTTAATTATACAAACAATATATGTTCATTAAATGTTCATTAAAGACAAAGAGGAAAAGACAGATGAATATGAAGCAGAAAACAAGCACCCATCATTTATAGTTTTCCATTGCCTAGAATATATTACGGTATCGACTATATTATTTTATTCACCATGATCCAGACATTTTTTTCTGTGAATAAATACATATGTCTAGTTTCCAAAACAAAACTTAATATGCCACGCAGTGTTAAAGGTTTTAGGTCCTAATCTTTCTCATAAAACAAGACTACTGAAAGGGTAATATAGCATCCCTATGAATGGATTGTCATAATTAATCAATCCAATCCCACATTATGTGTTATTTAGTTTGTATCCTTTGCAATGCATCGCCTACCCCTCTCATTGACTTCTGTAATGCCAAAATCCTAGGAGTGATATTTTTTGGTTCAAAGATTTCTGTTGGAAACATGAGCCACCAAGGTGTAAAGTTTTTTCCACGTCTTTTCTAAAGCCTATTTCACTGCTACTCCTATATCAAAACTGATGTCTTTCCAGCTGTCAATACCAATCTCAAGGTCCTTTTGCCCAGATTCACTTTCTTTGGGGAAGGAAGCACCAGGCTTCTGGCTGTCTATCCAGCACCACTTCTGTCAGAATCCAAGTGGGTCGTCCATCATACTCTATCATAACTCTGTGCCCTGACTCCACACTAGCTCACAGCCATACTGTACAGCAGGCTGCAGCCCCGCTGCATCCTACCTCCACCCAGATTTCACGTCAAACTCCTTTCCCAAATTCCTTTTCTTTTCCCTTGCTAACACCTTAACATAGTAGGGCATACAGACAGATTCAAAGGCTTGTGAGAAAACACCTTCCGATACACATGGCCTTTCCTTTCCCATCAACAGGGGGATAAAGTGGATTGATTATCCAATTCACTGTAAGGGACAACTGGGTAGCAATTAGCAAGAAAAGATATGGGTTCTTCTCACAGACTGCTCACCTAAATCGTATCCAGGCTGATTGAATGTAAATGCACAGAGAACTTTCAAAAGAAAAGGCAAGTGAATGTGTGTATACATTATGAATTGGAATGAGCCCAAGAATTCCTGCTGAACACAAAAGCCACATGGACAACATGGACATATTTATCCTACAGGAAAATTAAATGCATACAACAAAGAAAAAAGATGGTGTTAGATGAAATAATGCAAGAACTCCATACATGAATATTCCCAATAAAGACTTCCTTTTCCTAATATAGAAGGCTGTGACATCCCTAATGTACACGTAGTTCCAAGAAGAAAAAAGCTGCTCTTTTAACACTAAGACTTGAAGAAAGTCCAAATAAGTTTATGACACCGCTTTTCACTACTCATTTTGGCAGTGATTTTACATCAGGAATATTCCCATCTCTACCTATATTGGTAAAAAGGCAGTTCAGGGCCTATTGCTGAGAGAACCCATTAGTACAAGTTAGCTAAAGGATAATTTGATAATAGCTATTGAAATGGTAAATATTAGGACTGAGATACCACTTACAGAACTCTGTACATCTTCAAAAAGTTATTGAATTGCACTCTTAGAACTTGATGGTATGTTGATGCTACCTCAATGAAACTATAATTAAGAAGTTTAAAATGCACGATGTTTGACATATTTATTCCACCTTGAACATATACCTTAGAAAAGGGATCTTTTTTAAAAAAAATATTTTTTAGTTGTAGATGGACACAATGCCTTTATTTTATTTATTTACTTCTGATGTGGTGCTAAGGATTGAACTCAGTGCCTCACCCATGCCAGGCAATTGCTCTGCCACTGAGCCACAACCCCAGCCCAAGGATCTTTTTATATATATTTTTAGTTGTAGATGGACACAGTACCTTTATTTTATTGTTTTTCTGTGATGCTAAGGATTGAACACAGTGCTTCACATGTGCTAGGCAAGTGTTCTACCAGTGAGCCACAACCCTAGCCAGTAAACAGCTCTTTACCACGAAAATTAAAGCATTTTATAGAATCCAATAATACTATCATTAACAATATTTTGTTTTTGGTTTTGCTTTTGTTTTTTGGTACTAGGGATTAAACACAGGGGTCACTCAATCATTGAGCCATATCCTCAGCTCTTTTTTGTATTTTATTTAGAGACAGGGTCTCGTTGTATTGCTTGGGGTCTCACTAAGTTGCTGAGACCGACTTTGAATTCACTATCCTATTGCCTCAGCCTCCAAAGCAGCTGAGATTACAGGTGTGTACCAATGCGCCCATTAATAATGTTGTTTAAATACCAGAAAAACAGACAAATATTTGTTTTGGTATGCAAACAAAACCACTACGAACTTTGGAAGAATCTATAGGCTGAGGAAAGTGAGACTTCAGTTTTCACTCTACATCTACTGAACAGGTCCCATGAGTGTTTGTATTAAACCAAGAAACAAGATTGAAAGCCCACTAGGATAAGAGGCTGTCTCCAAAGTCCAACTATTGTGTCTGTGGGAGAGGGAGCAGCTGGCTGCTGGTGATCAAATCCAGGGCCTAAGGACCTGAACAGACACTTCACAGAGGAGGACATACAGTCAATCAACAAGTACATGAAAAAATGCTCAACATCTCTAGCTGTCAGAGAAATGCAAATCAAAACCACCCTAAGATACCATCTCACTCCAGTAAGATTGGCAGCAATTAGGAAGTCAAACAACAACAAGTGCTGGCGAGGATGTGGGGAAAAGGGTACACTTGTACATTGCTGGTGGGACTGCAGATTGGTGCAGCCAATTTGGAAAGCAGTATGGAGATTTCTTGGAAAGCTGGGAATGGAGCCACCATTTGACCCAGCTATTCCCCTTCTTGGTCTATTCCCTAAAGACCTAAAAAGAGCATGCTACAGGGACACTGCTACATCGATGTTCATAGCAGCACAGTTCACAATAGCAAGACTGTGGAACCAACCTAGATGCCCTTCAATAGACGAATGGATAAAAAAAAATGTGGCATTTATACACAATGGAGTATTACTCTGCATTAAAAAATGACAAAATCATAGAATTTACAGGGAAATGGATGGCATTAGAGCAGATTATGCTAAGTGAAGCTAGCCAATCCCTAAAAAACAAATGCCAAATGTCTTCTTTGATATAAGGAAAGTAACTAAGAACAGAGTAGGGACGAAGAGCATGAGAAGAAGATTAACATTAAACAGGGATGAGAGGTGGGAGGGAAAGGGAGAGAGAAGGTAAATTGCACGGTAATGGAAGGAGACCCTCAGGGTTATACAGTGGAGGGGGTAGAGAGAGAGGAGGGGAGGGGAGGGGAGAGGTGGGGAGGGGGGAGGGTGGAGGATGGGAAAGGCAGCGGAGCACAACAGACACTAGTATGGCAATTTGTAAATCAATGGATGTGTAACTGATGTGAATCTGCAATCTGTGTATGGGGTGAAGGTGGGAGTTCATAACCCACTAGAATCAAAGTGTGGAATATGATATGTCAAGAAATTTGTAATGTTTTGAACAACCCACAATAAAAAATTAAAAAAAAAAAAAAAAAAAAAAAAATCCAGGGCCTCATACATACCAGGCAAGTGCGCTACCACTAAGCCACATCCCCAGCCCTCCATCTTACTTTGATTGCTTTCAACAGGAGATGCTTTGTATTCTTCCACAAGTGTAGTAACTTTTTGACTAGCTTTCAGAGGCACACTGCCAGTCACATCAGTATTGAAGTAGATGGACCCATCAATCCGGCCATAATCAGTACAGAAAGTTGTCACAACCCCCTGTATAGATCTCAAATTGCTGTCACCTATGACACAGAAAAACAAAGATCACATCATTTAAGCTCCAATGCAAATGCCCACTACAAATAAGTCCCACACTGACCCTGAGCACATTTCTTCACTCCTCGGACCTGTTTTCACCTTTAAACAACATCGATAAGTTTCTGTGCCTCGGGGTTGGTGCGAGTATTAACTGACACATAGATGCCACCTGTTAGGAGCTGTGAGTGCCCTGCCCAAGTGAGAGTGTGAATGTTGATGCGATCACCATGGCTGCATGCAGGAGACTCTAAGCTTCCAGGACGGCTGCAACGACCCTTCCTCAACATCACCAGCAGGATCTCCAGATCCTTCAACATCTCCCGGAAGCAATAAAAGGTTTCGGGAGACGTTAAGACTCGCGCCCTCGGCTTCAAATACATGCCTATTTGGGTTAGAGACCAAGTTCACCCCCGAATTAGGGCGGTTCACGTCTCGGGAAATGGAAAGGGGTGTCACGCAAGGGGGTGGCAGCCGCAGGGCCTTCTCTGTGGCCGTCTAAACACCCCTCCCCTTTGGACCAACGGGAGACTTAAGATCGAGGTTCGAAGAGGACCCTGGGCCACCCTCACTCCAGGCACACCATGGCAGCACCCCCGCTGCCCTTCCGGCTAGGCCCGAGCCCCGTGAGCCCCGTGAGCCCCGTGAGCCCCGTGAGCCTGGGCGGGCTGAGGAGAGGCCCCCTCTGAGGAGGCTCCTCCTGTGGAGGCCAAGGGGACTCACAGAGGACTACCTTGCAGCAGCCTCTGCTGCCCCTCATCGGGTTCCGCCCTCTTCCGAAGTAAGGCAATAAACCCTCTCAGGATCCTGAGCATGTTGCTACCACCACAGGCCTGGGGGCCGCCCTCGCCACACAGACCAAGCACCAGGCCTCCTCTGTGGGACGCCCTAGCGTCACAGCGCCCCCTTGACCCCTCTGCTTCTCTTCCTCAGCCTCTGTCAGGTGGGACCACGGAACTGCTAGTGAGCAGCCCTCAGGTGAGCCAGGGTCATGGCGCCCCCACCCGGGCTCACAGGTGTGCCTTAACCTCCCCCCACTGAGAGGGCCCTGCAGGGCACACCTCTTTTCACCTTCCAACCAATGGAAATGCAGCTGACGATCATGTGGGTGTCTGCAACCAATAAGAAGCAACGGGTGGGGAAGTTGTGACCCCACCCATCTGAGCTGAGGGCCCCCTTAGGATAGTCTCAAGAGTGTGCTCAGGGTGCAGGGGACATGTTCTGTGGGAGGACCAGAGGTGTGGCTGGGGAGGTGTGGCAGAAACTTGCCCCCAGATGGTCTGAACAAAACAATCCAGAATGATGCTTGGTCTAAGAACTGGCCACACAGTGGGTGGTCAGAAATTAGTCTTCATTAGAGATCCTGTGGGGTTCTTGTCAGTATGTAACATTTTTTAGGGATGCTAAGTCCCTGTCTTTTAGGCTAGAACTAGAATAAATCTAAACCTCTTCTCTAGAACAAGTCCTACCTGGGTGCTTACAAAGTCTTTCAACAACTATCCCAGGAATTTTCTTGATTCAATAAAAAATGCAGTCTTTTAAGATCTGGTTTGCTTTGGGACTCGGTGAAGGATACTTGGCATAGATCTGAAGGTTCAGAAGAGTGTGGAAATAGCTCTGGAACTCTAGACTTCACTTCCTTCCAGGTGCTTTCTCCATACCTATTATCTCTGCTGCCTTAGCCCCTGCACTTCTTGTAACTACCAGGGTCAATGGTCTCATTATCTGTCACCATTCATTAATTATGCTATGAAAATTACTCCCACATCTGTGTCCTACAGTACACAAATTTATTTCTTGTTTCAATTATAGTGGGGAAAGTTTCAGCTTTGATTTTTCATGATCCTTCATTTGAGGCCAGCTGAAAGAACATTTTTCCTTTCGGGAAGAGCTGGTCTTGTGATACAGTGAAATGGGAATTTCAAAGACCTTTGAATATCTATAATAAGCTAGACTCAGAGTTAACATCCATCACCTATGCACACACTTCACTGGCCAAAAAGTTATTTGGCCAAACCTTACATGGCTGGGCAAGAAGGGCAGATAATCTTTGACAGTAACACTACAATTTGACACACTTTGCTAACTCCATATGCATCACTCAGAAATAGTGTAGGGAAGGGGTGGTTGTTGTTGTTGTTGTTAGGATAGTAGGCTAAAGGGCAGGGAATTCTCTCCGTTCATTCTCCCAATCCATAAAATGGCAATAGGAGAGGAAACCTGGGAGATCAATTCTCTTCCATCTTTTTCCTTCTAGCTCTTACCCTAAGGTTGAGAAACAGCGTCTCCATTCATTATCTGAAGTTTCTTCTTGTCTCCTAGAGTTCTAGATCCTGTTTCTAAATAACACTTAAAAAGAGGCTGGGGATGTGGCTCAGTGGTTAAGTGCCCCTGGGTTTGATCCTTGATACCAAAAAAAAAAAAAAATGTTTTTGACTCTCATTGTTACCCCTGTCTCAGTCATTTAAATAAATGCTATGACTCCTTGCAACAATAGTAAACCTTTGATTTGGGACTTACCCAGACTCCAAGTTCACTCTCACCTCTGGATTCTCAGAATGATGGGAGCTGAGGGAGGTACCCTTAGATATACAGGATGTAGGAAATGAATATGGAGCTCATACAGCTGCTGAGATGCCTGAAGGCCATTTTTGTCCATCCCGTTTTTCCACTCACGTGAAAGCATATTTCCCCTGCCACTAATGTAAACAAAGTTTCCTTAGAAGTGTTTGTAAGGGTATGTAGGGGGAAGGGGTACTATGTCTTATCCTTTCCAATTTATGCTGAGGTTAGATACCTGAGTGAATTGTATATCCATCCATATGATACCCCCTAAGGGCCAAATAGATTAGAAACAGTTTTTTCAACATGATTTCTCAAGTTTCTTTTTCACAATTCTAAGAATATCACACTACTAGTAGCCCTCAGGGTATCTGCCAGCTTCCTGCTGGGGGCTGCTCTGTGATATTTCAATCACAGCAAAGCACAGGGAAAGGGGGTAATGTGCACATGCGAGCTCTTGCAAATCACGCATACACACACTCACACACACAAAACCTGACATAAAGTCACAGTTCTCATGCTTAGTCCCAAAAGAAGCCTTTCTAAACCCTTAGGAACACTCAGATACAGAATTTAAATATTTTTTATATTTTAAATATGCAAATCATCATTATTAGAACTCCTCAAGCCAGGCACAGTAGTGCATGTCTGTAATCCCAGGGACTTGGGAGGCTGAGGCCGGAGGATGACAAGTGTGCAGCCAGCCTCAGCAACTAAATTATCCCACTAATTTTGTCCCAGTGGAACTTAGAACTGCATGGGGAAAATATAGGCTTAAACTTAAACTGTATTTGAGTGATCAGAAGAAGAACAAAACTGGAGTCAGGACTACAGTGGTGTTTGGTAAAATCAGGATATCAACTGGAATATTTAAGAAGATAATGGTATGAGGTACAGCAGCTGGATCCTTTAAATCAATGTAAGTCACAGAACAACACATGCCACTTTGGACTCAGCATTTTCATTTCTAATCACATCGTTTTTTCATGCTGTCTTCATGACTCCAGTAAGTCACTGAACCAGTTCTTCATCCTCCCTGTAACATCTAATCACTAAGTTCCCATTTCATTTGAATCATGACCACATGATTTGGTCACAACAGCCTCTCTTCCCAGGTCACATTCTGTGATCAGCTAATTTAATGGTGCTCGCTTCATTACCTTGGACTCTCTGCTGTTCATGAGTTTCAGCCAAACTCATTTCAGTGATTGGAATTCCTGCCGATGAGAAGCAGTAGTCCAGCATGATGATAAAGAGTTTAGGCTTTGAAGTCAGACAGAACTGGGTTAGAAACCCACTTGCTAATTGTATGATCTTCTCCAATCTTCAGTTTCCTATTCTGAAAAATGATCATAATAGCACTTAGATCACAGGATTGTTATATTATTACAGGATTATAATGCTATTACTGGTATGAAATGCCTGGCCCAAAGAATGCACTCAGTAAACATTAACCACTACTGCCATCATCATTGTCACTGTCACCATCATCATCATCATTGTTCTCACTTCCAATGTGATAAACCATTCAAATGACCCTTACACAGAGAGCTCCTTCTGTTTAACTCTAAAACATTTCATTTCTAACACCCATGTAAGTCAAGTCACTTCTTCCTTTCATTCTCTTATTCTAAGACTATAGATTGATTGTAGTTGCTATTCTGTGTCCCAAGTCTTCCACAATTATGCAAATTAATTACTATGTTTTCCTGGTAGTGACATGCCTGCCTAGTGGCTTCACAGAGATGCAGAAAGCAAGTTTCGGGCCCCTTGGATGCTGTAATGAAAGGTAGGCACTGCCTCTTACAAAGACCACAAGTAATGGAGGACTCTGCAAAGAAGGCTAAGGAACTACTAAGGAGAAGGAGTTCAATCTTAGATAGAAAAACTGTAGCAAATATCGACTACATCTGGGAATAAAGTGTAAAAGCTTTGAATTAGTCCTTAGCAAGGCAAATTGTAATGTTCACCCACTTCATCCTCTCTTCCCACCATCTCCTATCCACATTGAAGAAGAGCTGAGTAATACAGTGATGATTTTTCAGGACACTGTATTAGTCTACTGTGCTGGGAGATTAAGTCTGCTCACTCTTGTGATCTCTCCTGGCAGTCTCTCTTGCTTCCATGAAATTTGCACAGGTATCACCTCTGTTTCTTTTTGTATCCCTCTTCTCATTCTGTTTTGGTTCGATTCCTTCTATGAGGTAAGAAGGTGCAAAGAGGACAGAAGTGCAGAAAGAAAGACTGGGGCTAGTGGTTCAGAATATAGAAGAAAATGCTCTTATTTTGATTCTCTGAAGTTCTCCATTTTTGCCCCCAAGACCATCCTCCATTGTCAGATCTTATTATTCTGGTAGCAAGAAGAAAAAAAAAGTGCTAGTACAGATAAAAAGATTGAGGGAACAGGCTAAGAGAGTCAGAATCAGAGTAAGAGCTTAGCCCAAACCTTAGCCTAGGAGCCTGGCATCCCATGAGCAAAAGTCCACCTGAGTTTCTCTTGGCATAGCAAGGTGTTGTTAGGGCCCCATGCATATCCCTTGAACCTTCCCATGTTTCTCAGGACAAGTCACATTAATGCATTAATGTTCCGGGGCTCTTCTCCTTGAACTGCAGATCTCTGAACCATCTACATGTGCAGCAATCTGAAAATGCCAGTGAATTAACACAGTGAGATGTGGCTTATGAATTGTGGTATAGATATCCCAGTTCCTCAAGTGGATATTTGTCAGGTGAGTGTTTAGCACTGTTTCCCAATATAATGGTCAGTCCTGTATGGTGGCACCTGGCTTAATAGCACATTCTTCATTGACAGCCTTCATTTCTTTTATAAATATCCACTCTTATTTGAATCCCTGTCCAAGTATCCAGTTCCTGGAAAATCCAAGCTAAGACTCCACTATTATCTTTGAGTCAGTTAATAAAGAACCTGAAATCAGACAGAATATTTTCCTATGTGCTTTTGCCATTTTATCTTACAATTACCTGCATAATGAAACTTTGGTTTGAAAATCATAACCTACTAAGGACTTAACAAAGTAGGGAGAGAGTAACTACAAATCAGATAGTAGAATATACTTAAATAGTTTCTCTTGTGAATATGAATCTTCTTAATGTAAGGGAAATTCTTCATTTTACTATGAAGTAGGAATGTTGGAATCAAGGATCATTTTCACAAATTGACAAAGTAGGGAGATTAGGAAAAGCCACTCCTGATCACTGAAAAAATATAAACTTCCTCTAACCTGAATGAATACTCAAATGTTTGCCTAGGGTTGTTTGAAAAAGTTACTTCAAAAAAAAAATAAATAAAGATAAGGATTTCTGGAACAAGCAGAGCACACTATTAAAATTAAGGATAAAGATTTCTGAAATAAACTGAAGATGTTCAAAAAGAAAGTATAAATGGAACAATACATTACAAGCTTCAAAAGCATAGGAGCGATAAAACTAACAACAAAGATAAAAACTGTCATTTGAGCTCTTGCTTACATATTGACAATTTGCTACATATTTATGTGCATTATCTCATTCAATTCTCACAGTAATTCTGAAAAGTATTCTTTCTTTGATACTGGGAATTGAATCCAGGGTGCTTAACCACTGAGCCCATCCCCAGCCCTTTTTATATTTTATTTTGAGATAGGATCTCACTAAGTTGCTAGGGCCTCACTAAATTGCTGAGGCTGCCTTTGAACTTGAGATCCTCCTGCCTCAGCCTCCTGAGTTCTGGGTTTATAGTCAGTGCACCCAATGAAAGGTATTATTTCTTGTCCCCATTTTACACATGAAGAAACTGTGGCATAGAAAGGGTTAGTAATTCTCCCAGGGTCACATAGCTAGTAAGAATTTTAAGTCATGTCTCCCTAATTCTTTAGTTCCTGTGCATTCTATTTGTATATACATTTTATTGCTGTATTTTGTATTTCTCTTAATTTGTGATTATTACTTTCAATAAAGATCAATCATTAAATGTAGAGCTAAATGTTATTTGTTGTTTCAATAACTGTAAGTAAGTTCAGCCTTGAGAAAAGAAATCTCACACATAATGTGTCTGATCTAGGATCAATAAAATATAGTTGTTATATTCATAATGGATCAACAGTTCATCATATGTCCAGTCAGGTCTATAGATTCCCTCATACTTGGATTTTTGACTGAATGAAATCTGGCATAGTTTGTACTCTTGATTTGACTTTTGAGTTTCAAATGGTCACACTCCAGATTCAGAATGCCTTGCAAATAATAGGCTTTCAATAAATGAATTGAAATAAATGTATTGAATTGAATCCCAAAATTTCATCCTGTTTTCTAGTTCCAGAACTCTCACTTAAACTTGACACTGTAATCAACACAGTCACCAAGATTTGAGGTAACTGTTTCTTCTCTCTGTACTCAATGATAACAAGCTCTTTCCTTGAACCACCCCTTCCTGTTCCCAGCCTAGGATAATCTTCAAGGTTTCCTGGGTGTGGAAGCTTGTTCTCTAGGTTGTTGATTTCTGTGTCCTCCCATCTTCCTTTGCACAGATCCTCCTTATCCCTCACAAGTGCTCTGGGTCTTCCTATCTTTTTGCCTTTGTTCATGCTATTCCCTTTGTCAGGATGTCTCATCCCTTTGTCTTGACTTCTGCCTGGCCCTCGTTTCAAATTCCTAAAACTTGCCTGAACCAGGTGCAGATGTGATCCCAACCTCTCCAGACCAACTGGGAATCCTTATTTCAGGCTAGTGGGGTCTCCAACCTTGACCTGCCCTCAGATCCGGTGGCTGGCTGGTATTACAGAGTTGGAGAGCAGAGAGCCCTGAGAGGTTACCACCAGGCTGTATCAGAACTAGTTTCCAGTGTGTGCCTGTAAATATCAAACTTATTTACTCCTCCTGCTTCTTGTTTGAGTTCTTTGAACACAGCATGTTCCCCTAAACGATTTCAGACAGCAGGGGAAGAACCCTGCTCTCACCTGTCCATGAGTGCAATGGCAAGTCAGGCCTGTAAATAGGATTTCAGCCTTTTCTGAAACTGGGCTGCCCACAGAGTTGCATGGCCTGGATGGGAGGTGGGAAGATGAGTATTGACATGGTTTGTGCACCTCTAGGTAGCTGATTCTATTTGAAAGGGAGACTGGACCCTTGGTGAGAATCCTGTTGACTCCATCAAGGGGAGCAGCAATGTGATGTATTGTAACAAGGGTCCTGCTAGATTGTGGCAATTTAGAAATCCAGCCAGTTGGCTTGAACCATGCCAGCTCTCAGCACATATGGTACACAATTTTCACACTCTTCTTTAATTGTCTTCAGAAAACTGAGCATGCTTTATATACACTTCTAGAATATAAAAAGCAAAGTGCTTATGTGTTTGCCCAGGGCATATTTTCACCTAGGGTTGATGGAAGATAAGTTTGCTACCCCCTTCTTGTCACAATCGCACCTTCAGCTGGAAATTAGAGCTCCAGGTGGCTGGAACCTTAAGTCCTTTTGCTAATGGGCCAGCCTAGCCCAGCATAGGGGCTCCTTCCATTATTATGCCCTTGCACAAAAACATGCCATCACTTGTCTGAATGCTGTAGTTTTGTGATTGCCTGATTTCACTATCATCTTCTGCCTTCCTCACCTACTCTTCAGCCCCCTGCCTTTCCCACCACAGACCACACTTCCACAGTTCTATTGAAAATGATTAATAGCTCATATGTAATGGTTGCTTTCAGCCTGATAAAAAACATTTCTACAAGTAAAAGGAAAATAGCCTGTTGATTTCATCTGTTTCCAATATGTTGGCCTTTTTATTCAATACAGTCAAATCCCATTTGTTAATGCTGCATTACTCTATTGATTGGAAATACCAGGGGGCCATGTTCCCTAAAGCATCCCTTCACATGGTAAAGAGCATCTCAAATTGGATTAGTTTACTTACCAAGGGTGTCTACTCTTCCCAGACATCAGTGCCTCTGAGACAACCCCTTCCATTTTAAGTTACTGTTGGTAAAAATGTTAAGATCCCTTTGAATAATCTGAGATGTGTGAAATAAGGTTAGTCACAGGATTTCCTGCCACCAGAGCTCACAAACAAACTTTCCTCACTTCCTCTTTTTTAAAGTTCAATTTAGGCTCACTGATCTAGTTGCTTTTGTTTCAGTGGTTAGAGTCTCCACCCTGTTACCAATGGTTAAGAGGGTTGATAGAACCTCAAGTGTTCGGTCTCTCTAGCTAGTTGTGTCTCTGTATCTCTCTCTCACTCACTCCGAGACATTCTATCCATTATGAATTCAGACTCAGAAAACTTAAGTTTCTTCCAGATTTGGCTTTTTCCTCTTTCTTTATATGTTTTGTTATCTGTCCTCTAATCCACAGAATTTACCATCTTCCCTGCCTCCAAGTCCTTGTCTTGACAGCCTTCTCCCATGTTCCCTGGTGCTTAGATTTTTAAATAGTCATGTCCCATAGAGCTCCAGGCTCTGAACTTTGCCAAACCTCCAGCAAATCCTCTCCTCTCTACCATTTTACCTTAGCCATCCCACACCTTCTCATAAGATAAATTTCCTATACTATCCTCATTTAAGACCTTGTGCCCAAGTAAATGTGAGCTTCTGTGAGTTAAGGATTAGGTTTATCCATATATGCCATCCCCTGACAAGGCGCCAGACCCTGGATGTTTATAAAATTAGTGGAAACAAAGTTAATGAACTGGATAAAATGTTATTCATTCCAAAAAACAACATTTAATTTCAATTACAATGTGTACTTCCACAAGGCCCGGAAAGATAGAAACTATGGTGGGAATTCAGCCTTGAGGAATGGTTTCTCCACTTTGGTATTTCAGGTTCTCAAGATTTTATATGTCAGAGTTGGAGGTTTCTTTATTCAGGGTTGTAAGTTTCCCATTTTCACCTGGCTATCTGGATTTTTCAGTAGCATTTCTTCCCTTTCATCTTGCCTACTGGAATCAGCAAAGCAAGATTTCTAACTAAACTTTTTTGCAATATAAGGAATTTTCAAGCTATGTACTATATAACTCAGCAAAGTTTCTCTCAGATACAGTTCATGTGACTCACTTTGCATAGATATAAGCCCTGGGTGGATCCCATAAGGATCTATCTGCTTGCATTCCTTCTATTTTAAATTAGAGCTTTATAGTGTTACATTGTAGTTGGGTTCATCCCAACAAACTCATACATGCATGGAAATCAATTTCAGTTCATCATCCCATTTCTCTCCTTCCCTCCTCCCCCTTTCCCCTTCTTCTTCCTCTACTCTACTTGATTTCCTTTCATTAGTGTATTAATTTGTATTTGATTGGTTCTTTATATAATCTTATCCTCCCCCTGCCCCGCTTTTTTTTTTTTTTACTTTAGCTTCTACATAAGAGAGTAAACATTCAACTTTTGGGTTTGAGTTTGCCTAATTTCACTTACATGATATTCTTCATTTCTGTCCATTTACCAGCAAATGTCATGGTCATTCTTCTTTATGATTGAGTAATGCTCCATTGTGTATATAAACCACATTTTCTTTATTCATTTATCTGTTGAAAGGCACCTAGTTTGGCTCCATAGCTTGGCTATTGTGAATTGTGTTGCTCTAAACATTGACCTGGTCGAATCACTGTAGTATGCCAATTTTAAATCCTTTGGATATATACTGAGGAGTGTGATAGCTGGGTCAAATGGTGGTTCCATCCTTAGTTTTTCGAAGAATCTCCATACTGCTTTCCAGAGTGGTTGAACCAGTTTGCAGTCCTACCAGCAATGTTATAAGGGTGCCTTCCTTCCTATATCCTCACCAACATTTATTATTTTTCGTATTCTTGACCATTCTGATATTCCCTTCTAATCACAGGGCTTAGAGTGATGAAGATTCTGGTGGGTTCACTTACTTTCACCCTCCAGTCCAGGGTGAAGCTACTGTCTTTGATTCTCATAATGGTTCCTGGAGAAGTAAGGTTCTGTTTTGTTTCAACTCCAGAAGGAATACATTTGCTTCTAGTGGAACCCATTTCTGTCTATGCAGTCAGTGCCTTTATCCCCAGCACATTCCCACTACTCTGCTCCATGAATTTTGCTTTCAACTTCCAGCCCCAATTCATGATCTACCTCTTTCTCTCTCCATGAACTTTTCTATGTATCTTATACAAGATCCTAGGAGGCTTTGCCCAGCATTACCTACTGCCATGCATCTAGGATCCTCTGCTTTGGATTGTTGTTTTTTTCTCCTTGTTTTTTAGCTCCTCAGAAACTCTGTCTGCCAGCCTACATTCTACTATCATAGCTTGTTTACTCTGTTTTCTTTTTTTTAATTATTTTTTAGTTGTTGATGGACCTTTTTTTTTATTTATTTTTATGTGGTGCTGAGGATTAAACTCACACTTGCTAGGCAAGCACTCTGCCACTGAGCCACAACCCCAGCTCACTGTTTTCATTTTTTTTTAAATATATATTTTTACTTATAGGTGGACACAATATCTTTATTTTTTATGTGGTGCTGAGGATTGAACCCAGTACCTCATGCATGCTAGGCAAGAACTCTTCCACTGAGCCACAACCCCAGCCCTCTGTTTTATTTTTCTTTTCTTTTCTTTTCTTTTTTTTAAATTGGGGATTGAACCCAGGAGCACTTTACCCCAATCCTTGTAATTTTTTTTATTTTGAGACAGGGTCTTGTTACATTGCTTGAGGGTCTCACCAAGCTGCCCAGGCTGGCCTTGAACTTGTGATCCTCCTGCCTTAGACTCCCAAATTGTGGGATTACTGTGTACCATGGTGCCCATCCCCACTCTTTCAATTTTTATTCTGAACCTATCCATTGAGTAAAATTAAGAACTTAATGATACAATTTACTAATCCAACCTATGTTTCATCTTCAAGATATAAACATGTATTAACAGAAATAATAAATATGTAAAAAGGAATATGTAATTGAGGCAATTGTTATTTCTATGGAATTTGGGGTTTTTCTTTTGTCTTTTTGTTATTTTTGCTTTTTTGGTGATGGAAATTACTTCTAAGGAATTTGAAACAACTATTGAACATATACTGAACACTTATGAAAAATACTGACATTGCTAAAGTGTTGAATGAGGTTAAATTGGAAAAATATAAGAGGAAAAACTGGACATTTCTACATTTAAAGAATAATTTTTTAAAAATCAGCAAAGAAAAGAGAGAGGGATGGTGTGGTACATTAGTTGTCCTTCTGTGATTGGCTTTTTTCACTTAGCATAATGTCCTCAAGTTTTATCCGTATTGTTGCAAATGGCAAGATTTCCTTCTTTTTAAAGGCTATCCAGGTATGGTGGCACATGCCTGTAATCCCAGCGACTCAGCAGGCTGAGGCAGGAGGATCTCAAGTTTAAAGACAGCCTCATCAACTTGCTTAGGCCCTCCACTGAGCCACATCCCTAGCCCTTTAAAAAAAAAAACTTTTAATTTTTATTTATTTATTTTTTGTACAAATGGAGCACATTTTTTTTTTTGTTTCCCTGGTTGTACATGATGCAGAATCACACCATTTGTGCAATCATACACATACATAGGGTATAATTATCCAGCCCTTTTAAACAATTTATTTACAGACAGCATCTGACTACATTGCTTAAGGCCTTGTTAAGTTTCTGAGGCTGGCTTTGAACTTGTGATTCTCCTGCCTCAGCCTCCCAAGCCACTGGGTTTGCAGGCATGTGTCACAGCACCTGGCACATGAAAATAATTACTTCCAACTTTCAGTAGTGGTAGTTAGGTAGCTATTCATAATCACTTTAGAGATGAGGGGTTTAGCTTCCCAGTTAGCTACCTAATGATGGACAGAAACATTAATGGAGGTTTGCTATATTCTTGTAGCAGGTGAAAATCAGAAGGAAAGCCATTTTCTGTTTGAGTGTATTAGCAGTGTTGACTCAAAGGAGACAGCCTAGTAGTTTGTACCCAATATCTATCCTATTTTATTCAAACTGACTGGTAAAATTAAAATCAAGCATGCTTTATTTTCCTCAATGGACATAATGTATATGGATTCCCTTAATGAAGGCCTTCCAATTATATCACATCTCAGCCAGGTAGAATTCTGCTTCCCAACACTAGGAGGCATTTATTTTCAGTTTCTAAGTACTTTTCCTTGAGTCACTTTCCTGGGGGATGGAAACTCTCCCTAAATAACACAAACCACCTTCACCCTTAAAAAGAGTTTGAGTTTATTAAATCTAATTTACAATGAGTACTATGACAGTTGCCAGATGGTAAATATTCACTTACCGTTGACCCTTCCTAAGTAATCATTGCTTCTATAGCAAAGAGCCTCCCTAGTTTCAAATCTTCTGAACTGCTGTAGACAGTACCTTACAATCTCAATTAGAAAATGTTTTATGCTGTTTCTCAGCAAGAGGAATTGTGCAATTTTCTTTGCAGCAAAGCTTGGACCTAATTCCTTACTTCGCTGCATAAAGCTGGGCATACAGTAGATAAGTAATGAATGCTTATGAGTTTGATATAATTAACTTTTTAACTCCCTATTGTTACAAACACTGTGGTAGGCAAAAATGCTGAGAATATATTTCATGAGACTTGACTTTCCCTCTTATCTCAGTCTAGTGGGTCGGATGAATATGTAAATCAATAACTATAACTAAACCTGTTAAGTGCCAGGGCAGGAATTTACATGGAGATGAATGAAAGGCATTACCTCAGGATAGTAAAAATCTCACTGAAGACATTTGCTATGGGCTGTTCCTCCATAATAAGGTAGATGACAGGAGGAAGAACTTTTTCTAACAGAACGGAAGAAAAGGATCACAAGACATTCAGGGAGAAGAGTGCTAGTTCTTGTCAGAGAATAGGGTATATAAGAAGGAGAAAGGGAAGAAGGGATGAAGCACGGCCCTGCTAAGGACTTGAGAATTTATTCTGAATGTATCAGGAGCCACCACATGATTTTAAGCACAGAATCATCATGTTCAGACTTGTACTTCTAAGTAGCTCACTCTAGTAGCAACCTGGAGCAAAGATCAGAAGATCACAAACAGACCAA